GAAAACCCCCCCCCGCCCCAAATCTAAGGCAAGCAGAATCCTCCCATCTTGGCCCTCCTTGACCCGTTCAGTTCTGCTCATTCCTCTGGACCTCCCCTTCTCCCCTTCTCATCTTTTCCCCTCCTCCTGAAATGAAATGTGTGACGATAGCAGGGCAGCCGAGGGTAGAGAAATCTCGAGCTTGGGTGAAGGTCTGCCTAACAATCGGCACCCACTGACCGGCGGCACTCCTCCCTGGTTCACCACGAGTCCGACACCGGAAAACCGCCTGTTCAGGACTTCTCTGCCCAGGTTCCACTAGCCCTGCTGACTCGGAGATTCTAAGGGGTGGCATTAAATTGAAATTTAAAAATTAACTTTACCGAGCTCCTCTAAGAAAAAAGGCCGGCACAGCGCTCTCCTCTGTGACGGAGAAGAGACTGGTGGTTGTTTCTGTCCATGCTTCGTGGAACTTCATTTTCAAAACAGCTTGTCTCCTGTTTTGCAGGACTTTGGCTTGAAAGTATTTACCAGCACCAAAATGCACAAGCCGGAGAGTTGCTCAGACGGCAGAGTAGAGCACTTCGGTAAGTATCCGAAGAAGGATGATGCTTTTGCACCCGAGAGGCCACTGAGATGAGACAAGCAGGAGCATTTCTTAGTTTATTGTGAATTGCAAGGTCAAAGGTCAACCGAGGCTTTCTGCCTCCTTCACCCCGACCTGGCCGGATTACCTCTGAAACACAGGCTGGTAAGGATGTGGCTGTGAGGGGCCACGTGGGCCTCCCCGAGCGCTTTCGTGGCCTTTGTAACAGGTTTGAGTGACTGGGAGGGACTTTTCTGGGCTGGAGTGACTGTCAATCTGTCCAACACTAACTGTATTAAAAGAGAGCCCTGCCTCTCTCTTGAGTGTTCCTTTCCCTCTCTTTAGTCTGTTGTTGTTTAGTTTGCTGTTGATCTGTTCACAACTGTAAGTGATCAAAGGTTTTTATCCCTTCTCCTACAAATGTCTCAGGGCAAGTTATGGAGACCTTAAGTGCCAGTCAGTGAGAAAGGGGTGGACCATCTGGGGAACTTGTAACTATTCTCCTCTGGACTTCTACATAACACAAAGGAATGTAACCAGAAAACTCTGCAACAGTTGATATCTTAAAAGGCAGCTTCTATAACCAATTAAAATCCACTCTTCTCTCTTGTAGAGCCTTACATGTCTCATAGACTAGCAGTGCCAGAGGCTGCGATGTCTCGAATGTATGGTGGTAACATGTTAGAAGATTATGTGTCAGAACCAGAACCACAACTGGAGACGGTTAGAAGCCTCTTCCCCGAGACGTGGATTTGGAATCTCGCGGTGGTGAAGTGAGTAAGCGGCTCTGAGGCTTGGAGAGCCTCCAGGTTCTCTAGCAAAGTACTGTAGAAAGAAATGTATAGACTCCCTCGGTTTGCATTTTGTGGCATCCCATTTTTGATGCAAGATTTGGTTCCTCGTGGAAATTCCCATGCATTTTCAGTGCTCCTCCCCTGACTTATGGCCACTTTGGCTCCTCCATTTGCTCCTAAGCTCTGCCTTCGCTCCCATCGACCAAAGCCCGACTGTGTGTCTTTCTCTCCCCCAAACTATTTGCATGTGGGCCACTCACATTTTTAAGAATACTACAAAATCACCAGAATCTAGAAAAAACAGAAGCAGCTTCTCTTTTCTGCACAAGCCTCGCAAACCTGCAGATGGTCAGGACCAGGGGGAGACCTCCTCTCGGTGGGACTCAGAAGCCTCAAAGGGCTCCTTTATCTGAAACAGAAAGAGAAACGGGGAACTCCTTCCCCATCCCTAGCAAACCTCTCCGTTTTCCGTGAGTGTCCTTATGCAAGTGCACATCCAAGAGGCAGGGGCTGGAATCCAGTGGCCATGAAGTTAGGCCTTGTGAAGCGGCAATGTCATCCGCCTGAGGTCCTCTGACAGGTCAGCAGCAGGATTTTAGCCTCTGAGCGTTTGGATCCCTTATCCCAGCATGTGACGGCTTCAAAATGAGATGTTAGAGAAGTGAAGAGACCCATGTCCGTTCTTGCACGAGTACCAAGGCCAAAATCCTGAAGAGGAGGGAAATGCGTTCCGTGTCAGGCGGCCACCTTTAACCCTTTCAAAGCCACACCTCTTCTGAACATGATCCACATATCCTGCAGTTTTGATCCCCTGCCTGACACTGTTCTGTCCAGTCTGGATTATACAGTTTCTTGACTGGAGAAGGAAAGCTGTTTCTTTTGACTATTTTTCTTCTGCAGGGTCTTATCCCAATATGTTTTATAAGAAGTAGCTGTGTTAGTCTGTGCTGCCATATCTGACAAAAAGAAACAAAAAGAAAACAAAGAAGACAAAAATCTTGTGGCACTTTAAGGACTACCTGCTACATTGGACTTGTCTGTGAAAGCTCACAATAAAATATAGCAGTGAGTTTTTAAGGTGCCATAAGGTGTTCGTCTTCTATTTTTCTTTTGTTTTTGCCTGTTATACCCGAATTAGTTAATCCTTTAGTCCCCTTTAGGGCAACAACTCATTTTAATTTTAACTCTGCAAACCTGTCCATCAGGTTTCAGGCACATTAATCCTCTCTCCCTCTCCTCCCTCGCCTCAGTCTTTGAACGATTATGGGCTCAGTCGACTCCAATAATTAACAAATAAATAAAATAAGGAAGGAAGGAATTCACCACCTCAGAAGGTTCTCTATAGCAGTGGTCCCCAACCTTTTTCACACCATGGACTGGTTTAGCACACAGGTGTGGGGGGGGTCCATGTGTGTGTGGGCGGGGCATCTGTGTGTGTGTGCATGTATGCGTGGGTGGGGCGTCCGTTCGTGTATGTGGATGGACATCCATGCATGCGTGGTCTGTGTGTGCCCGTGTGTGTATGTGGGGGACGTATGTGCGTACGTGCGGGGGATGCAGGCGGGGGGGTTGGTCCTGCCAGGGTCAGTGCCCAGGGCTGGGTCGCATACCTGGGGTCGGGGACCCCTGCTCTGTAGGTCAACAAGTCCAACCTCCCACACGGCAGTCTTACAGATGCTGTTGTGATGTGAATCACCCTGTCATGGCAAGATGGGAGATGGGAAAGGACACAACAGTGGGCTCAAGTTACAGAAAGCCAGATTTCACTTGAATATCAGGAAAAACCTCATATGTGTGAAAGCAGTCCTTCTAACAGAACCGTTAGAAGAACAGATAACCATGGGAAGTGGCGAGCGCGCCAACATGGGAGGCGTTCAAGAGGAACGTAGACAACCCCTTGATGCGCATTCCTTGGACTCGATGGCTTTCTGGGCTCCTTCCCACTTCTGGCTCAGTCGACTCCAATAATTAACAAATAAATAAAATAAGGAAGGAAGGAATTCACCACCTCAGAAGGTTCTCTATAGCAGTGGTCCCCAACCTTTTTTCACACCATTCACTTGTTTAGCACACAGGTGTGTGGGGGGGTCTATGAGTGCGTGGGTGGGGTGTCCGTTCGTGCATGTGGATGGACATCCGTGCATGCATGGTCTGTCC